ACTTCGTCCTTCTTGGCACTCCATGCTAAGGTGTTCAGATCAGGCTTTGGTGGAAGGGCAGTCACCACGTCTGAAGGCAATTCTTTGGGCATCAGGGATGGCGCGCCTGGGGGCAACCCGATTGAGCCATCTATGTAGCCCTCACTCAGCCATGACTCCAAATGGTGGCGTTGCCATTCCAACTCACTTTCACTTTCTGCCATACCCAAATAATAGATAGGAGTCTGCTGAGTCTTTGCTACCCTCTCTTTGTAGCACGCCTTAGCCAACTCCAGAGTGTGCGAACTCAGATCGATCAGCAAGATGGCTGCGCGGCTCAGGCCTTGAGGCAAAGCTGCCTGAAGGACCTTGCGCGCAGCGTCTTCGCCGATCTGCACCGCCTTCTCGACCTGGCTCAAATGCGTGGCTGTGTCTGACGAATCTGGTAGCGCGTCGTCTCTCATGTCCTCGATGACATGCATTTGCTGTGAGGGGTTCATGCTGACGTCTGTAATGGCCCCTTTGCTTAGCAGTCCTGAGGTGCGCCAAATTTGCCAAAGCACCTTGTGAGCTGCGCTCTCGTCCGTTCCCCCTGGGAATAGGATGAAGCCTGGGTGGAGCATTGGCCGTTTCTCCCGCTCATCTGTCTTGCTGGCATACGCCACTGCGAAGCGGGTGTCCGTGTTCAACGCTGAATTGGTCAGCAATGTTAAGCAATTCTGCTCTGCTTTGTGTAGGCTGCCTCGTTTGTAAAAATGAATGGGGCTTAAGCACACGCCAATGGAGCGGCCAAGCCCGTTCACAATGCCTCCGCACAAACCTGCCTGCGCCTTCTGAGTCTGCGCTGAAAAAAAATCGCAGGGGCAGACCAATTCAAGAAAGCAATGCAATGGATGGACTCTCGGTCGGACAACTGGTGCAGACGTTGGATCTTGTCAGCGATGGCGGTGACAATTGCAAAGTTGGCAGTGTCCAGCTTTTTGAAGATGTCCAACTGGATTTGCCATGTTGGCCCTGCTGCTGTCATGCTGGCTGCGATCTCCTTGGCCTGCTTCTGCCGTCTTGCGGTGTGCTGAAGCTGTTGGAAATACTGCGCACTGTCTCTGTCCAGACACTTGGTGCGCCAGGCGCGGTATGATTGGACATCATGTTCTGCTGATGCAAGCATGACCTCGAACGCTTGCTTTTCCAGCTCGCCTGCTGTGATTCGTGGTCCTTGGCCAATTGCTGTCATTTTTGAATCTCGATTAGCGAGGGCCACCGCTACTACATCCTTGAACTTAGAGATGTCGGCTGGTTGAAACTCTGCTTTGCACTCGCTCAACGCAGATTGGAGTTCCAGCTCGAAATTTGGGTCAAAGTCCAGAAAGGGATGAATGACTTTCTCTAGAAGCAGATCTTTGTGGACAGCATGCTGGTTCTGGATTTCCACCATGAGGGATGTCAGTAGCTGGGCCATGGACAGGGTCTCTTCCAGCGCTGATTTGTCCCAGTTCTTCCTATTATCCTTGATCTTTCGTGCTTGACTGGCATGGACATATTGGACGAACAAGTTGAACCCATCCACAGTGACGGTCATTCTTGTTTGCCATTGCCGCGGCATTCCACGAGGGGTGTAGCCAGGATGCAACCGTTTGTGCGCGAAGACTTCATTGCTGAACGCAGAGTCATTGCCGAAGGTACTGCTGTGTTTTAGGAGCAACTGCGCTGATTCTGTAGGAAGCTTCAGTAGCAGTAGCAAACCGGTGCGCTTATTTCCTACCACTGCTGCTTCGCGTGTTGCACTCTCATTCCACCGCTGCAAGACTTCAGTGGGTGACAAGCCTTTGCCTTTCAGGATCAACAGCTTGCTCAGCCATGTGATAACATCATGCTGTTTGCGGATGTCTCCACGGGCACTCAGGGTTGCATTTTCCAAAGCAATGGCTACCGCATCTGTGGGAATGTCGGACTCTTTGCAGAACACAGCCAACATACTGTCATAGAGCCGCGGATTCAATGAGGCAACATCAAGGTCCATCTTGCATACTAAGACATGTGCCAACATCAGAATTGTGCTGGCACGTGCCGCTCCTTTGACATAATGAGTAAAAAAAATTGGAGCGCCCTGCTGATTTTCCATCCTGCCAGGGTAGCTCTCACTTTGATACAGCAACAGGTTGTCGGAAGCGGTGATAAAGGAATGTGTCAAAAATTCATCCACCAACTTCCGGGCTGCTGGTTTGAACGTTGGTGGCTTCGAGGAACAATCTGGATGCCACCCCAACTGCCACAAGCTGAGCTTGATTGCGGAAGCTTGGCCTTGGCAGCCAGCTGGGTATTGCAGTCCATCGACATATGTCAGGTCTGGACGGCGTGGAAAACGCCTTTCCAAGTCTGCAGCAAATGCAGTCCAGGCAGCATTAGGCTCTGCCCCCAGTTCAGACTGCAGGTATTGGACAGGGCCTCCGTGATGGTCCAGCAGCAGATCACAAACCCGAAGCAAAACTTCCCGGAAATTTTCCGGCTGAACTTGGCACTTTAGTTCTGTGTCCAGTTGCTGCAGAAGCGCTGCGTCCGCAGTGGCTTCTACTAGCATCGCAGCGGGACCAGCTTCTGATTCCGTTTTGCTGGCAGATGGCACTTGTTCCGATTCCGGCTTCGGGGCCATCTGCTCGTCTTCTTGCTCCTCCTTGCTTGCCATCGCTACAGTATGACCGAAAGGCACCTGCTTTGAATTTGCAGAGTTCAGAGTTCAGAGGAAGCGTCACCTCTTGTCAAAGTAAGTGCTAATGTGGTAAGTCAATGGTCAATGGCGAATATGATTATGCATGTGATGAGGCTCGCAGTGTGTGCATATCATATATGACATGAGATTAAGTATCATCATCTGTCTGCATGTCAGTCCTGCATGAGATAGGGGTTTGGGTTTTGTAACCAATTGGCTGCGGATATACAACAACATTCCCGTCAACAACTAGAGAATTGATTATTTCACTTCAGCATTTCCCACACTTTAAATGTGATAGATGAATTGGGGTAAAATCTCGTGGCTGCCACCTAGTCCCAAGGTCTGAAAAGAGAAAAAGAAAGTGGACATTAAATCAAAATCTCTGCCCTGAAAAATTGGAAAACACCAGAACTTGACCAACGGGGGGAGCGGAAATCCTGCCCCCCCCGATTGTCTAGTTACAGACGTTACTTGACCATCTCACCATGCTAACCCCAAAACTTGACCAACGGGGGGGGCAGGAATCGTGCACCCCCAGATCGTCAAGTTCAGCTACTGTAGCACAGAGATCGTCTAGTTACAGACGTTACTTGACCAACGGGGGGAGCGGAAATCTTGCCCCCCCAGATCGTCAAGCTTGGAACATTTGAAGCATCCGAAAACCCCTCTCGACCCCCGGGCTGCGTCGCAATTTTTCCACGAAACATCATCGCTCAGAGAATTTGACGGCAGCCTGAGATAGGTGGACATTTCTACATTCCACCGTCTCGTTGCTGGCAGGGAGTCTACTTATTACGCTCCCATTCCAAGCGAACAGCCTTCTGCAGCTTGTCCACAAACTCGGGTGTATACACCTGGCACCACTTCGACAGTTGGATGCCTCCCTCGCTGCCCTCAATGGTGGCATGTTCTTCTGTGCAGGCGCATTGCAAAGGCTGGAACAAATCGACAATGGCTGCAGAATTTGTCAGCAGCGTTGTCCTCTTTTGCAGGGGTTTCTTTGAGACTGGTGTTCGTAGGTTGACACGGCACTGGTCGAAGGACACTTTCATGACATCCTCTTCCTCCTCCAGGTCCTTCACGCTTTGACGCTTCCATGAAGTAGCTTTTTGCGGATGTTCATGCGCAAAAAAGCGCTTCTGGGCGTGCTGTCGCTTGGCAACAAGCATTGAATAGTCAAGTAGACAGTGCGCCTCTGACCACCTGCGTTTCTTCGTGGCCAAATCCATCTTGCCCAGGTTTGCGTTTTGCATGGGGCTGTACATGGTACAAGGCGCGCTCAGCATTGTGAAAAATGGACGGTGCCTTGACTGCGGCTTCAATGCCCGGGCGCGAGAATCTGCAGTCAAAAAGTCGTAGCCTGTCATAATGTCAAAGCTGTGGACTGCCAAGAACCCTTCGCGCCGCAAAGGTATGGCTACCCGCGGTGGCGAAAAAAATTCCATGAACAGGTGCTGCTGCTTTTCCTCCTCGTCGTCGTCAATCACCACAATGTCGCTCTCCTGACACCTGGCAGCAGGGGCGGGGTTTGAATGGCAAAGTCCAAAAAATCAAGAAGCTGAAACTAACTAAGATCATTTTTGAACTTACTTGAACAAAAAAACAAACAATGGCCTCGTCCGCTTGGAAGGAGGTGCCGGGCTATCTTCCAATACCACGACCGGCCGGTCACCCATTTAATGACCTGCCCTGGGGCTAGTTTAAATGCTTGAGCAACAAACGAAACTCAAAGACAGATATTCAGACATGACCATGGATTGGACAAATTCAAATCCCCATCATGGACCCCCACATACACACGCCCTTTTTTCACCACCAGCGCACCTCAATCAGCTCAGCTACTACTCCAGACCCATTGTGTGCCAGCTGCATTTAAAATCAAGCCAGCTTTCTTTCGGCAGACCGCGCAGCCAATGGAGCTGTAGCGGCACTTACCGCACCCAAGGCTGGCATCTGGAGGCATTTGACCTGCATCTGCACGTCTCCTGGGTGCTGGACCTGGAGATAGTGCAGAGGCTGGTCTCTTCAGGCTGGTCACAGCCGCTGGCTTGCTGCCAGTGGGCTGTGGCTCAGCCGCACGTGCTTGGGCCTTTGCCTTGGCCTTGCCTTTTGCTTTTGCCTTACCTTTCGCTTTAGCTTTGGCCTTTGCTGTACACTTTGCTTTGGCTTTTCCCTCGGGCGGATCTATGGCTGCCACAGAAATTGGGGCACCACCCCGACCAAACGCACTGTCAGGCGCGCCCAACTGAAGATTCTGATGCGGTCTCTCTGCGGGATCTTGCTGAAGTTGCTCTCCTTCAGGCTCGGCAGGAGGTGGAAGTTGAACGGCGCCGCCATCATCATCTGCAGCTGTCGTCTTGCCCTTGACCTTGAGCCGCCTCAGTGTGGAGGGTGGCCTAGACACCTTGACAGTGGCAGGCGCCCTGTGATTCCATGCAAAGGTTTTGTCTGTCAATTGCGGCACGTCCGGCTCAGAGACCTCAACCTCTGCCCGGGTTCCTGCCAAGAGCCACGGCATATGCAATGGGACCCATGATTCACACGAATTGCTTTGGTTGGATTCGACGAGCTGAAGCAGAAATGCGCAGCCAGCATCCATATGCCACGGTTCTTGGCTGATCACCTCAGCTGTCTTCTGAAACTCTCTGACCTGTCTCTCAGACAAGGAAATTCGTGGAGATAAGGTCAAAGACTCACAGCTTGGAAGTCGAGCAAAATCGTCTTCAAGGGCGAAGACTAATGGTGGTTGACTGGGCACCTTGTCGCTAATATATTGCCTGCATGTCAGAATGACATCACCAGGTTTCGGACCAGCCGGTGAGCCGTTAACTTCCTCCACACTGCCCTCATACTCAGAGCGTCGCTGGAAGCTGAAGAAATGCACAGCCTCTTCATTTCGTTTTGTTTGCCAATGCGTCTGCACATGACCTGAAGTGGTCACTTCCAGGTGCTGGAAGAATTTCTTCATGCTTGGTGCAGCGCGGATTCTCTCCACAGACAATTGTCTGGAGTCACGTGGCTGCACGCCTTCACTAATGGCATTCATGAATGCCTCTGGCGATTCAAGGACCGAACATTGAGACAGACAAAATCTGATCTTGCTGAATCGCTGATCGATCCTTGAATGGGTGTGTCCAACCCTGAACTGGGTTAGGACAACACTGTCAAACAACTGGCGATGGCAAAGCCATGCAGCCAGGCACATCACAGTCTGATTTTTTCCTTCCGCGGCTGCGTTGTCAGTATGCAGCCTCAGGTGGCGGGGGAAAGGCTTCCCCCGCGCCCGAAAGCTGCTTTTTGCTTTCTCCAAAGAATGGCCAATGATGCTCACATGCACGTCGGCTTTCTTTGAGAGGTCAGGATCGCACAAATAGTATGTTTCATGAAGGCCTTCTATGATGGCACCTATGCAGGATGTCTCTGGCCGCCAAAGGTTCTGGAATTCTTTTGCGGCGGAGATGTTCCTTGGGCAGCGAAATTTGGCACCGTCCATTGCGTCTATGACTATAGATAGCAATGAGTCTGATGCTTCGACGCTTCCAGATAAGGTTCCTGCGCTGATGCGTGCCCGTGTGACTAGGCGTGAATCGAACTGCCTGTCTTTCATGACATCCGTCAAGTGATCAGAATATTCCTTGCTAATGCGGTCACAGTCTGACTTGGAAGACACCTGGCGCCGGTATTGCTTGAATTTCTCGCAGGCCGTGCACTTACTGTGTTGTCCGACGGATCGTATTTTCAGCTTTTTCTCCCAAGACATGTGATAGCACTTCACAAACGTGGAGTACGTCACTTGGTGCTCTGGCAAGAACGTCACGCCGAGATCTAGCATTTCTGCCAGTGTAGTGCCTGGAGGCAGCCATCGGACACCGCAGTCGCACAATTCGTCCTTGAAAGCAATTCCTGGTTCCTGCGGCAACCGGCTGGGCCTGGTGCTGGCAGGTACCTCGTCACCTTCTCCTGCTACCCGAACACTTTCTGCCAAGTCTTCAGCGACTTGGTCATGTAACCATTGTAGTATTGCGTCGGCTTTGGTCCATGCGCCTCGCTCGTTGCGCTGTTGCTGGGATTCTGTGAGCATGTGCTGTGGCATGTCATGCCCTTGTGCAATTTCTGCGTTGAATTGTCTGAGATGATACTGGGATATGTGCAACAGCTTCCCCACCGCAGTTGCACACAATGTCAAGCCCCAAGCACAATACCTCCTCCACGTAGACGATCCAATGCCCCACTCCTTCAATCTTTTAAACTGCAAAGTTTTTCGTTGACATTTGGTGCATGCATTCAACGCTTGGCCCAACTCGGTGACTCGACGTGACAGGGCAGGAGAATCTTGCAGGTGCCGTAGGCAGTTTTCAGTGCAGCACCTGTCAGGGTCCAGTTTGCTGGTCGAAGCGCTGCCTCGCAGTGGCTCCGGCGGAGCATCTGGTGGTAGCTCTATTTCCGAATCTACAAGGACTTTTGGCTTCAAGTAGGTGTTAACTTTTTTGAGGTAGGTGTTTGTTTTGTGCAAAGCACTGGCACCTCAGATTCTTGGTTTGTAAATTTAGAGTGTTGCGATGCCAAAGGAAAAGCAAGCACCACGTCAGAATATTTCACACTGAGGAGATTGGGTTAAATGTCAGAAGGAGATGCCAAAGCCAATGTCAGATGATATGTCAGAAAATGGCTGTCAATATGAGGAGAGGGTGGGGCTCACTGGAAGTGACATTTTTTTGTGAGAACGAAAGGAATGTTGATCTTTCAGAATCTTCCGTTGAGAAATTGATCATTGTTCACAGTTATGTTGCCTCTTGTGCGTGGAAGTGTCAGCATCACTATTTGCATGATTTGCACTGGTTTGCAGCCGCCTGTTCTTCGCTATATAATAATAATAGGTAGCAGCATCTTGCGCTATATATAATTAATAGTAGCAGCTTCTTGAGCGCTATATTATAATTAATTAATAGTAGCGCTTGAAGCGCTTTTAAACATTCTGTGTTCTCGCGCAGCTAATTTTCCAGAGACCTCGAAACCGCGTTTTTCATATCATAGCGATCTTGCTGCTATCAATTCAATGGCTTACCATCAAGTGTGGCTGCATGCAGAGCAGTGGAACCTGTTGCCTCTGTTCCTCCAGACCATTTCTATGTTGTCAGAGGAGGAAAAAATTTTCATGGCAGATTTTGGCATGGCACTGTTGAAAGAATGCTGCATTGCTGCGCGCAAGTTGACTGACAACTTCCAAGAGACGCTGGACCTGATGCGTGCCGAAGTTTTTGTGGCGACATTTCGTGGCGTCATCGTCCGTGGAAGTTCGACTCACATTCCAGTGGCCGTGCTCAGGGAGACTGAAGGTGACAAGAGACGCTTCCGAGATTTGATTGCAGCTCAATCGTATACGGTGCCTCGCTTGCAGCATTTGGCCAGCGATTTGAGATTGGCGTTACACTACATTGATGAGTGGGAGACAAACTGGCGTTGTTCCGAAGCTTTGGCTTCAGTCATGGAGCACGTCGAGGCCATACTGGACAACTTGCGGCTGAAGATCTTGGGATTGCTTCATGAACCGGAAGGAGAATATAACCCTGAGTTTGACTTTGACTTCAAATGAGGATGGAAAAAAATTAGAGGCATGCAGCTTTAGTGCCAGCTGTAGTGCCACCACGTTGCATGCAGAGGTCATTTTCTGAGACGGATCATTTCATTTTGGTTTGTTTCGAGTGCAAACGTTTTTCCATTCGGTGCAATCTGCAGCCGTTTTCAAAAAATGACGTTTGACAGCTCAACACGAGTCAGCGGACAAAAAAAGCATGACGTAACTTAACATGATGTAGCAGATAATTAAATTCATGTGTGAGTGTTTTTGCGATAGTATTTTATAGGCTGACCATGATCATGATGGTGAGAATGCCGCTACCTTAGGCACTTTCCACTGAACTCTCTGCTGCAATGTCAGATACGCTGTCTGATGCACCAAGCTTGCCTCCTGATGTTGAATCTGAAGATGATAACAAAGACGCATCTGAAGCAAGATCCGTAAGTCTTCCCTCTGACGTTCAATCTGATGCTGAGCCTGGAAATCTTCAAAAGCATTGCAGCTGCCGATTGCAATGTTACCTGAAGTTTGATGAAGCAGAAATCGAACATCGACGTGCTGAAAATTTGAAGGATCAGCAGGTTCGACTCCAGAATTTATTTGGAAAGGTGAAATCTTTCGTGGATGCTTTATCTGTAAAGACTGCTCGCATAGATTGGCAAATGGGTGGCCAAAAAGTGTGCAGGCCCTTTTGGGAGTATTGCCACTCAGTAGGCCACAAACAAGTGGACGACATGGTGAAATTGGCTAAGCTTGGACATGCTGCTCTCCCTGAAAAAGGCGCCCGGATGCCCAAGGAGAAGCCTCGCATGGATGAGGCTGATGTTTGGTTCCTTAACTTATATACAGGTCTTGCAGAGCCGACACCAGTGGAAGATGGTGGCCATCGCCATGTGGAAGAACTTCCTGATGCAGATCAAGTGCATGAAGTTGTCCACGATGTTAGCCATCCACTATATTCAATGTCTGTTGGTGTTGGCAACCAGGGGGCATTGGTCCCGAAGCGTTTCCTCAATCAGGAGAATTTGGCTTCTTTGTGGCATGTCTACGAGCTGAACAAGTCGGATGAGCCACGTGTGTCCCGGGATACCTTCACCAAAGCTTTCAATCGACACTGGAAAAGGATTTTATGCTTCAAGGGTTATGGTCAAGGAGTACGATGTCAAGTTTGTGCTGATTTTGATGAGAGGCGTTCGCAGCTGACTTCAAAGAAGGAGCGCCAGGAGATTGACGAGTTGAAGCAGCAGCACCTCAACAGATGTGACATGGACCGATCTGTCAATGTCAGGGGCAACCGATTGTCAAAGCAGGATTCAAATTTTAAGATGGAGAACTCCTCGACTAGCTTCCTCAAGGTGTTGGTGGACGGGATGGACCAGGCAAAATTTCGATGTCCCAGAAACTTGAAAGCCAATGCAGCCTTCGCCAATGTCCAAAGGCCGGCCTTGCATCTCACTGGAGCTGTGGCAATTGGCCTCTGCGAGGTTTATTATATTCTTGCGCCTGACACCAAGAAGGACAGCAACATGGTTGCAACTTGCTTGGCCCACCTTTTGGACAGATGCCAACTTGTTGTCGAAAATAGAGGACCAGATTATTGCTTGCCAAGACATCTCATCATTGGAGCGGACAATTGCACCAGGGAGACGAAGAATGCCTATTTGGCCCAATTCGGTGCCTTCCTTGTGGGAAGGGGTTTATTTGATTCAGTGGAGTTTCAGTTTATGGTCACTGGCCACACAAAGAATGAGCTGGATCAGCGCTTTTCAAGCGTTGCGACGATTTTGAACAAGGCTGGCACCCTGGAAACGCCATTGCAATTTGCCAACTACATGACGCACCATGTTAAGCCAGCAATGGCAACCGAGATGCAGGTGGAGGTCTTGGATGCTACTAGGGATTGGCAAGCTTTCTTTGAACATTTGAGCATGCACGTGCAAGGGCTCACAGCGACCCACCTTCAGCCTGATTCAAACCATGTTTGGCGCTTTGTCTTGCGACAGCAAATTGACCGTGCCCAAATGGTGGAGAACCACAACCCAAACTGGAAGGATTTTCCTGAAGACCCCAGGGATGTTGTGCTGATTCTCAAGCAGTGCCTTGGTTTTTTCCTGTTCAAAGTCGTTTCAGTATGTTGTACCTTTTAGTTCTTGGACCGTCCCATGGTTGAATTACCAGGTTCTCACCGCTGCTGCAATGAAATGTATTTTTTTCAGACTGCCAGGTTCATGTCCTCGGCCGAAGCGTCGCAACCACCTCAGCTGATGCTTCCAGCTCAGCTTCTTGGCAGTTTCAAGCGGGACCTCTTGACGATTGCCGACAGAAGGCAGTGGTCTGAAGATCAGTTGGAGCAGTACCTGAAGACTGCTCAAGCCGTGTCGTCGGATCCATGGAGACTCTTTGAGGCGCAGGCATGGCTGGAAGGCTTGTGCCATGCTAACAAGCATCGGCTGTCCAAGGAGCCTCCAGTCTTTTCTTTGGTTTTGCAGGAGCATGAAATGCCTGAGATCGTCACAGATTTGCCAGATGAAGCCCTGTTTCAGCCGGATCCGGCACCTCGTCGTGTCAGAGTGTTGCTGAAGCGACCTGCTGCTGCAGCCAAGTCATGTCGACAGCCGAAGATGAGAAGACCTGCAGCAGCTCTGCCAGGTGCTGCAGTTGCAGCACCAGCAGACGCTGCAGTAGCCGCGGCGGCCAAGCCTGCTGCAGCACCTTCTGGATCGCGACCGCCCATGCGCAGACCCGCGGCTGCAGAACCCTCAGACCGTGCCAATGCTCCTCCGGAGTCACATGTGGTTGAGGCTTCTTTAGGGAATTACACATGTCAATGTTCGGAGACTCTGATATGATGTCTATGACAATATTATTGGACTTCTGTTTCAGCTAGGGGCGAGACTTCAAACTTTTCAATGTCAAGGTATACCACTATCTTGAAGATGTAAAGGGAAAGAAACAGTCGGTGATCAGAAATTCAGACAATGTTGCTGCAGTTGCATCAGAGCTGGCGATCCATTGATATATTATAATATGTATTTTGATTTTTGGCATCGTAGGTAGCGCAGAGCGCTCTATAATGGGTCCCCTATTAAGTAGGTAGCGCAGGACGCTTTATAATTATATCATATAATAATATCCCTAACACATTTATGACCACGTAAAGTCACCAATTTGGCTTAGCCCGCTAGGCAGATTCAGAGAAGATCGAGCGCTATGGATGCTCCAGGTGCAGAAGCGCCAGGATTGGGTGCCTTCAATGTCGAGCCTGGGTGGAACAGAAGAGGCGTCGTTACGTTTTGGATTCAGCTGGCCACATTTGTCAGCTTAAAGCTGACGCTGAGGATGTTGATTGAATATCCCCAGCCAATCTTCAAGATTTTGCATTTGGATTGAAAAGAGAAAATGAGATGCCTTGCTGCAGATTGCTTTTGGCCTCTGTGCGAAGGAAATGACATTGGAGCTTAAGAACCATGATTAGACTAAAGCCAAATCATGTTTGCGATGTTGATTTGTGATTGAATCCTGAAGTGCTTTGGCAAAGAAACTTTCTTAGACATTAGCCAAATCATGTTTGAGATGTCGCTTTGTGATTGAATCCTGAAGTGCTTTGGCAAAGAAAGTGTCTTAGACATTAAAAAAAAAACGTGTTTGAGATGTCGCTTTGTGATTGAAGCGCTACTGGCCAAGAAACAGTCCTGCCCGAGGAAAACACAATTTCCTTTGAAAGGGGTCCTCGGAGTGAAAGGGGTCCTGGGTCCGCGCGCGCGCGCGCGTCAAGGGCTCCAAATTGAAGCTAGCATGCGCGCGCGCGCGGACCCAGGACCCCATTCACCCCGAGGACCTCTTTCAA